TGTAATAAAAAAATTCAAACAACATATCACCATTCACTCATGTACAAGTCACATTATCATGAAAATGATTTAATTTCTTCCGGTGGTATGAATTTTGTTGTTGTTTGGAAATTGAGTATGTTGTAGTCTTTCATTTTATTACCTATTATTTAGTGAATTTCTTCATATCATTGCCAATGGACGTAAAAGAGGACCGAATGATATTAGAATAAAGTTTCTTGTACATTATTTGCTTGACATGGAGTTTGACACTCCATTGTTTTCAAATGTTTTCAAAAATAGAATTGACGGGAAAGTGTGTTTTTTTTTTTCAAAAACTGTCCAATATGATGTCGCGACGTAGCACAATGTAAAATTTAATGTCAAACTCAATGTACTTGTAGCATGATTCATGATATCAACTTTGTGTGTGTTCTCTCTTTAATTAATGTTTTTGCGTAAAATCCGAACCTTAAGGCTTTCGCACATTACAAAACAAGTGAAAAATATTTCGAGTTTCGTAATAAAATCCTATCCATCTATTGAAGAATAGTAGATGCAGGCCCTGCAGTTTTGCTGCAAAAATCCAACCATTGTGTTAATTAAAGATAAACAGATTCTTCAAAAATATAATATAACAAAAAGAAAAATGAAAGGCTGTAAATGAAGGATGTAATAGGAAAATGTAACACCCCGAATTTTTTTATTATTTTTCATATGGGCCAAAACTTAATATGGGTCACTTAGCAAATGAAAAAATTCATGTTTAGATTTGTCGTCACACTAAAAGTCCAAAGGTTGATGATTTATTTTGTTCACATGTACTTAGAATTTATCGTAAATCTTATTTAGGTTGAATATTTACATATTTTAGAAGTTGATAATATACATCAATATTATACACGTTCTATCACTCGTGTTAAATAATATAATTTGAAATCAAGAAAAAGTAATTTTGAGCTAGTATGACCGAAATATTCTAATAAACAGAAATATGTTATCTTTTAATATTTTATTAATACTAGTTTTCCGCCCGTGTATTGTATTTTTTAGGTGATATTAAGTTATTAACATGTCAAAATATCTATTCAGTTCTCTCAATAAATCTACAAATTTGATTAATTGTTTAAAATGATAAATAGCAACGTAATCTTCATATACAACACACTTTTGACATTAAAAAATTAAAAGTTTATTAGGAATTTTTCTAAATGACGTCAAAAATTTTATTAGATTATTTAAAAAATTAATTGATCGAGAGGAAAAAGTAACAATAAGAAAAAAATTTCTAAAAACGATCGAATTTCTTTTATATATAAAAAATTTTCAGATGTTAAAATATTAAGATAAAAAATTAGTTAGCCTCAATTTTGTGTTGCTATAATTGAAATGTATTTTTTGGGGATAGGATAAATGTTCCCTTGATGCATGGATTAAAAACCAAAATTATTGGAGCTCATAAATCAAACATTATTTTAGTTTGAGTGGTTATTTTACATATAAAGGATTTATTTGACGATAACTATATTCAATATAATTAAATCGTGTAATTAGTCGAATCTTTTTTTTATTGTTCAATATCCAATCGATTTAATGAATTTTTTTATTTACGTATAATATTATTTTATAGAAGATTCTGCTATTGAAAATAAAAGACAGAAAAATGAGAAAAAAATTTAATGGAGCCAAACACAAGTTGAGCCACAGTATAATATTTTGTCACTTAAATGGGGTTGAGATTTTTATTTAATAACCCAATTTTGATATATTTGAATTTAAT